CAAAATATAGTTCTGGGAATTTTTCCAAGCAGCTCGAGCTGAGTCTGTAACATGAGAGCTGGAACTCGGACCCACCAGCTCATCTCATAGAGATGCCACCAAACCTCCACTAGGTGAGAACAACTTAAGGCCAATGGAGCTGGGCTGGGTCCAAGTTGGTGATTAAGAGGCAAAAGGCTCTGTAGCTCATTAGCAATGCCTGGAGACATCCAGTCCCCCAATAAGTTTTCATGTTACACTTTCAGGAATAAAGGTTGCTTTCTGGAAAAATACATGTCTTAGTGCTGATCTTTCTGGAGCTGACAAAGGCAGGGTCTGCACTCTGGAGACAGGCAAAATCTTCCACACACTGTTCTCAGTTTCAATGCCCACTGCCATCCTGGAGGACCCTGTATGCTCTGGCTCATATAGCCATTCCCAGACCAAATTTATTCATCTAGATGATTTAGCCACAGCTGGAACAAGTGCAGGATTGGCTGAGTATGCCTTGGGGAGGCTAAAAGCCAGATGGAGACATCTGCTCAGAGGCAATGATTTTCAGTGGCCCAAGCTACTGTTGTCTTGGCTGCCAACTGCATTTTACACAGCATTTGGAGAAGCAAAGGTGGAGTAAATAGCGAGAACTGAACCACCCACACCAAACTTCCTGTCTCTATCTTTAGGCAGCTAGAAACATGAGCAGCAGGATTCAAGACCATGAACATTACTTGCAGAGGGTGTGCAGCACACACTGCAATGTTCTGTGCACATCTACTGAGTGTTTATGGTGAGGCTATAGGAGAGTAATAATGATGGATTTCCTTCAATGAATTTAAACCTTAATTTTTCTCCAATACTCTAGGGCAAGATCGACAAAGGGACTTAGGTGCCTAACTGCCACTTTAGGGGCCTACGCCCAACATTTTTGGCACCACTGAAATCATCAAAATCTCCACTCAACTGCTGCCTAATCCTAGGCACCAAAACTTCCACTGTTAAAGAGCCTGAAAAATCTGCCAGTGAGCATACACATGGGTGCTGTTGCATACCTAAGCCGCAGCAGAATGCTCAACCTTGGCATACACTGGGGAACAACTTCAACAGGAGAGTGAGAGACCCCTGTCCTAGAATACCCTGCAGCCTACTAGCTAGAACATGTTCCTGGTAGGTGAGAAACCCAACTTCAAATTCCTTCTCCACATGAGACAGAGGGGAATTGAACCAGGGTCTCCCACATCCTGGGTCAGTAGGCTAACTGCTGGGCTAATAGTTGTAGCACCACCTCTTCCTTCACTGTCTTTTCCTGAGAAAGGGCTGACCTGGCTTAGACACCTAACTCCAGGAGAGGTTCAGAACTGTGAATCCCAAGCAGACTTAAGGTATATCTACACTTAAAACACCGCAGTTGAGCAGCTGTGTTGTTGTAGTGCTTCAGTGTACACACTACCTATGTCAACAAGAGGGCTTCTCCAAGCAGTGTAGGTAATCCACCTCCCTGCAAAGCGGGAGCTAGGTCAATGGAAGAATTCTGGTCTACGCTTGGGGGTTAGGTCGGCATAGCTACATCTCTGAGGTATGTGGATTTTTCATATCCCTGAGAAACATAGCTATACTGAAGTAAATTCCTAGCGTAGACCAGGCCATAGGCCAAGGGTGGGCAAACTATGGCCCGAGGGCTGGATCCAGACCATTAGGGCTTTGGATTTGGCCCGCAGGATTGCCACCCTTGTGGCGCTGCGGGCCCCACACCAATGCTGGAAGCGGCCGGCACCACGTCCCTGCGACCCCTAGGGGAGGGAGGAGCAGAGGACTCCGTGCACTGCCCTCACCTCCAGGCACCACCCCACGCAGCTCCCATTGGCCAGGAACGGGGAACCACGGCCAATGGGAACTTTGGGGAGGTATAGAGTGGAAATGCAAAGATCAGAGATGTTATCTTTCAAAATAAAAATTAATTGTGGTTAGCTGCCATAACAAAACAAACCTAGCATAAAAATGAAAAAAGTGTTCTTTTAACAAAAACCCATGACATCAGGGAAATTGTTCTCTCCCTCAGTATGCCATTGTGGTGGGAGGTCCTGGATCTGGTTGTGAGAGCCCATCAGCCCTTTCTATACACTTAAGTCTTCCAACTTTTGGAGGGCATAGTACAGTGCAGGAGGGCAGGAGTGGGATCCTGTTGAGGCAATACATTAGTAGTACATTGGGTGTGGAAAAACCTTTGAAATAGTTGTACCCTATTTGTAATTTCTTCTCATCTTTGTGCATGTCTTCATCATGCTGAATGGCTACAGTCTTATCCATTCCTCTATTTTTCCTCTTCCAGATGACAGGGACTAGTCATATTCCTGAGCCATCTTTTTCTGAAAGCCCAATAGCAAGCAGATCCTCCCTGTTTTTGTAGTGTCTGCCCTGCATGGTGGCCAGTCTGACTGTGATGGCACTGGTTGTCTTGCCCGAAGCCTGGACTGCCAATCAGAAAAGGAGTGTTGTGGGATTTACTTCTGCAAGCTGCGTGGAAACTTTTTAAAGACACCATAATAGAGGCTCAACTTAAATGATTATCACCCCCCCCCCCAAAAAAAAACATAGTAAGAGAACCAAAAACGAGCCACCATGACTAAACAAAGTAAAAGATGCAGTGAGAGGCAAAAAGGCATCCTTTAAAAAGTGGAAGTTAAATCCTAGTGAGGAAAATAGAAAGGAGAATAAACACTGGCAAATGAAGTGTAAAAATAAAATTAGGAAGGCCAAAAAAGAATTTGAGGAACAGTTAGCCAAAGACTCAAAAAGTAATATCATTTTTTTTTAAAGTACATCAGAAGCAGGAAGCCTGCTAAACCACCAGTGGGGCCACTGGACGATCAACGTACTAAAGGAGCACTCAAGGACGATAAGGCCATTGCGGAGAAACTAAATGTATTCTTTTAATCGGTCTTCACGGCTGAGGATATGAGGGAAATTCCCAAACCTGAGCCATTTTTTAGATGACAGATCTGAGGAACTGTCCCAGATTGAGGTATCATTAGACCTCAATCATATCTCCCCTTAGCCGTCTCTTTTCCAAGCTGAAAAGTCCCAGTTTTATTAATCTCTCCTCATACAGAAGCCGTTCCATACCCCTAATCATTTTTGCTGCCCTTTTCTGAACCTATTCCAATATATCTTTTTTGAGATGGGGTGACCACCTCTGCACACAATATTCAAGATGTGGGCATACCATGGATTTATAGAGAGGCAACATGATATTTTCTGTCCATTCTGTTCGCTTTTTTGACCGCCGCTGCACATTGAGTGAATGTTTTCAGAGAACTATCCACAATGATTCCAAGATCTTTCTTGTGTGGTAACAGCTAATTTAGACCCCATCATTTTATATGTATAGTTGGGATTATGCTTATCAACATTAAATTTCATCTGCCATTTTGTTGCCCAGTCACCCAATTTTGCCTGGGTCTTAACTATCTTTCGTAATTTTGTATCATCCGAAAATTTTACCACCTCACTGTTTACCCCTTTTTCTAGATCATTTATGAATATGTTGAATAGGACTGGTCCCAGAACAAACCCCTGGGGGACACCACTATTTGCCTCTCTCCATTCTGAAAACAGACCATTTATACCTACCCTTTGTTACCTATCCATGAGAGCACCTTTCCTCTTATCCCGTGACAGCTTACTTTGTGTAAGAGCCTTTGGTGAGGGACCTTGTCAAAGGCTTTCTGAAAATCTAAGTACACTATATCCACTGGATCCCCTTCGTCCACATGCTTGTTGACCCCCTCAAAGAATTGTAATAGATTGGTGAGGCATGATTTCCCTTTACTAAAACCATGCTGACTCTTCCTCAATAAATTATGTTCATCTATCTGACAATATTATTCTTTATTATAGTTTCAACCAGTTTGCGCGGTACTGAAGTCAGGCTTACAGGCCTGTAATTGCTGGGATCACCTCTGGAGCCCTTTTTAAAAATTGGCATCACATTAGCTATCCTCCAGTCATCTGATACAGAAGCGGATTTAAATGATAGGTTACAGACTACAGTTAGTAATTCTGCAATTTCACATCTGAGTTCCTTCAGAACTTTTGGGTGAATACCATCTGGTACTGGTGACTTATTGCTGTTTAATTTATCAATTTGTTCCAAAACTCCTCTAATGATACCTCAATCTGGGACAGTTCCTCAGATCTGTCACCTAAAAAGAATGGCTCAGGTTTGGAAATCTCCCTCACATCCTCAGCTGTGAAGACCGATGCAAAGAATACATTTAGTTTCTCCGCAATGGCCTTATTGTCCTTGAGTGCTCCTTTAGCACCTCGATCGTCCAGTAGCCCCATTGGTTGTTTAGCAGGTTTCCTGCTTCTGATGTACTTTAAAAAAACCCTGCTATTACTTTTTGAGTCTTTGGCATAGCTCAAATTCTTTTTTGGCCTAATTGTATTTTTACACTTCAATTGCCAGCGTTCAGTCTCCTTTCTATTTTCCTCACTAGGATTTAACTTCCACTTTTTAAAGGATGCCTTTTTGCCTCTCACTGCATCTTTTACTTTGTTGTTTAGCCATGGTGGCTCTTTTTTGGTTCTCTTACTATGTGTAACCCTTGTGCCCATCTAAGTTGGCAGCAACAAGGGCCGGGTTCTGTATCTAGGGGTTCCGTTTCAATAACGCAATGCAAAACCGGCTCGAGCCCCCACCCAGTGACCTGGGACAATTACATACCACCTCCTGGGTGCCTCTAAGAGGCAATACTTCCCCTCTCGCAAGCACGGAGTCTGAGTGTAGCAGAAAATGTTTAATAACATGAGGTAAACGACATCAGCATTAAATTGGAAAAACACCACAAACAGGATTCATAACACAAACCATGAG